GAGGTTATTAAACAAATATCATTAAATCATTAAATCAACAGTAAGGAAAACATAATGTAAGATATATGCAAATGCAATAAAAAAAAAAATCATACTTCCATCAAATACACAAATATATAACATCCAATACGTGTTGCACAAATGACATTCCTAACCAGAAAAAGCCACCAGCCTGCAGAAATCAGCCTCCAAAGAACAAAATAAAGTCAACAATGAGTCAGACCATACAGCCTAATGCAAGGATCAGCTGCATCAAGGTTTTTCTAAGCATCACAGACAACTAAAGGCTCATCGCAAAAAAGAGAGAGAGAGAGAGAGAGAGAGAGAGAGAGAGAGAGAGAGAGAGAGAGAGAGAGAGAGAGAGAGAGAGAGAGAGAGAGAGAGAGAGAGAGAGAGACAGAGACAGACAGACAGACAGACAGACAGACAGACAGACAGACAGACAGAGAGAGAGAGAGAGAGAGAGAGAGAGAGAGAGAGAGAGAGACAGACAGACAGACAGACAGACAGACAGACAGACAGACAGACAGACAGACAGACAGACAGACAGACAGACAGACAGACAGAGAGACAAAGAGACAGACAAAGAGACAGACAGACAGAGAGACAGACAGACAGAGAGACAGACAGAGAGAGAGACAGACAGAGACAGACAGACAGAGAGACAGACAGACAGAGAGACAGACAGACAGAGAGACAGACAGAGAGAGACACACAGACAGACACACAGACACACAGACACACAAACACGCTGACAGAGACTGAGAGAAAGAGAGAGAAAGAGAGAGAGAGAGAGAGAAAGAGAGAGAGAGAAAGAGAAAGAGAGAAAGACAAAGAGAGAAAGAGAAAGACAAAGAGAGAAAGAGAAAGACAAAGAGAGAAAGAGAAAGACAAAGAGAGAAAGAGAAAGACAAAGAGAGAAAGAGAAAGACAAAGAGAGAAAGAGAAAGACAAAGAGAGAAAGAGAAAGACAAAGAGAGAAAGAGAAAGAGAAAGACAAAGAGAAAAAGACAAAGACAAAGAGGGAAAGAGAAAGACAAAGAGAGAAAGACAAAGACAAAGAGAGAATGACAAAGACAAAGAGAGAAAGACAAAGACAAAGAGAGAAAGACAAAGACAAAGAGAGAAAGACAAAGACAAAGAAAGAGAAAGAGTGTGAATGTAAATCCATGTATCTGCAAAACTGAAAACATATAAGCTAAGCTAAGCCATTCATTAGTAACAAAAACAAAAAAAATCACAGAACACATACCTCTTCATACTCTGTACATCTGATTTAGAAGGCTTTCCTCTGACCTTCTGACTCAAATGCCTTCCTTCCATGTCTCTCGCATACGACGGATGTTCTCCATGGGTGGTTGACTTTGACTGATTTGTCTTGGAGTGATGAGATCTCCTCTCCCATGACCCTGTACTACTTTTACCATCACTTTCCTGACTGGACCACTTGCTGTTCTCAAATCTGCTACTGGACCCTTCAGCACCACCAGCTTTTGCAAGATCTGACATACTGTGGGACATAGACTGCTGGTTTTGATTTGATGCACGACTGTGTCTTCCAACAGGTGAAGGTCTGGACTGCGATGCCGTCGTGCTTGGAGATTCCTTCTGGACACTACAATTTTCACTATCCATTGGTTCAATGTCAATGTCCAGAGACATGTCCAGAACTTGGAGAGCTTGTTGGAGGATGTCAGATTGTTTACTACTCTTTTCAGCTGCAGTTTCAGAACTTTTTGGTGCCACTGCATTTTTTGTACTAGAAATTTCAATGTCTGATTCATCAGATATTGGAGAATAAACAGTTTGGTCCGAATGCTGTCGCATTATGCTTTTTAAGGGTCCAGGAGCACCTGCAAGATTACTGCCAGAAAAACCTTGATGCCCACCCTCTGCATACTTGCTACTACGAGATGCTCTGAACGAACCACTGCTTGAAGACACACTTTTTGAGGAGGATCTGTCTGAGCTTTCTGTTGTGTGCCTCAAGGGATTATTAATTTGAGCATGCCTTCTTCCCCCACTGTTCTCCTGTTCAATAGTAGGCTGGACCATCATTACATTGGGTGATTGTTGATTGCTCCCACTTTCATAAGAAGACTGGTTGAAGATGACATTTCCAGAATTCTGCATAACTAGATTAGGTGACAGCATTACCTGTGAATTTGTAACATTTACTCTTTTATTTGTTACCAGTGCTGGTACAACAAGAGCTTTCCCAATGCCTGGGAATTCCTGTGGCATCCCACTCGCAATAGGTGTTATGTTAAGAGGACCAGCCATACCCATGGAGTCTGAGTTCTTGGAACTAACATGGGAAGGCACAGTAGGATCTCTGAAATCAGACCTCTGTCCCTTCCTATTTTTCTTGGATGATTTGCTTCTCTCCTGTGACTGAGATACTCTCTGGAAGCCCTGACTCACTCCTGAAGCAAAGTTTCCTTCTCTTCTGTCAGTATGACTCATGCTATCAGTTTTCACAGAAAACTGATTTCTAACATTTGATTTCATGTAGTTTTCTTCTCTGGCTGCTGTACTAGAGTGCATAAACTGTCCAGATGCCATGTTTGATGATGTTTCCATTCTCCTTCCTGGCATCCTGTCCATGTTTATGTCTGAAGGAACTGAACTTGACATACTAGCAGGTACTCTGTTATTATGTGATGAAGGCACTGGAGCCTGGGGAGCTGAAGGGTAAGGCACAGGTTGCGAGTTACAGCGCTGTCTTTGCTGTGGTACCTGGGGATCTTGCCTGCGATGCTGAGTGGGGTGCACAACCTGAGATACCTCACCTACAACACCTCGTTTCTTTTTCAATATGTTTTCTCGGATTGCCTCGCGTGCATTGATTGATTTTGAGTTAGACGTATACTGCATCTGAGGTAAGGAAGGTCTTTGACTCAAGCTCCCTTGCCCTGCATGCTGAGCACTAGAGTTACTAGAAGTTTTTTGCTTTCGACTGTGAAACACTATGTCATTTGCACCATCAAACTGAGGGATAATAAAGACTTCCTCATCACTGGTTTCCGAACTTGATTTCCTTTCAATTCTTTTCTTACTATCAACTTCCCTAGTTCTTGGTAAATTCTTTCTCTTCAGTGATATAGCCTCTTTGCTTTCACTCTTTTCCCTATCACATTTTTGCTTATTTCCTGACAAAAAATTGTCACAGTGTTTACTTAAAACTTTTGAATCACAGTTTTGAGCTATATTCATTATCACAGTATTTCTTTCTACAGTTTGGGCACTACCTGAAGGCACAAAGGTTTCTCGCAATGCACATTCCTTAGTTCTCGCCTCAGACTTCAGCAGGCGAACACAGTCGATTGCTCCATCCAACTGCGGTAAACTACAGCCAGGACCTTCCACTAAGTCCTCTATGTCCTTGTCTTCCCTTCTGTCATACAAACAAAAAAAAATTGTAAAACATGTATTATGCAACACTCAACTGATAAGTAACAAATACTTTCTGATGGGTAATTAAAGTTTCACTATCAAAGCCCTAGCCTTTAATAATGATTTTTGCATTAATAACATAACTGTTACCATGAATGATGGAAAATATTTATATTTTCCTTAAAAGTAATCAATTAAGCTGTTGTCAAAATGCTGTCAAACAAGAAGCATATTTCCACAAATACTTTCTACTGATTGTGTTTCAGGATAATGACGCTCCTAAAGAGAAAAATCATCCTCATTAATCATCACAACTCATTATTTTATAATCCTTAAATATTACAAATTTAAAAGATATCTATGATTCCCCAAGTCCCTTCTAGAAAAATAAATGCACTGTTGGGAGAAGAAAAGTTCATTAAAACCATGAAACTATTGCACAGGTAGTGCTCAATTTTGGCTAGAATTCTGATCCTGAATCCATCAGAGGAAAGAAGGTAAAACAAGACAGTAATTCACGAGAGAAATAACTAAATAAAGTAGATTACATTCCCCAACCAGGAGTTGTGTAAATTAACATAAACAATAATACTTGATGGATATACTGAGCTCACTTAAGTTAGCTTGGTGAGTGACAGCGGAAAGAAGCACATGTGGCTCTTCATTGATGATGTTAACCCATTGCCGCAGGGGATGGCATGTACGTACATGCCATGCCCACTGTGAGTCGACTTGTTTGATTGTTTTTACACATAGATGGCTACATTTGTACTAAGTATCCAATGAGCCAATTACGAGTACTGCCTGTCTCGCCCGTTCACCCTTTTCATCGATTTACGAAAATATTCAACGTTATCCTAATTTGCTGTTAAAAATAACACCATCTATATTCATAGCACTAGTAAGAATACGTTTTTTCCCGCCAATTCAAGGAAAGGTGAAATCAGGACTAGCAGAGCCATCTATGGACAGAGATATTTCACAAAAATATAAAAAATGAGTACTGCACTTCCCCCATTTTTTGTTCATTTTCCCCGGCGGCAATGGGTTAAGTGCTACATCCACATAACAGCATAATTTGGCAAGCTGCTCTACAGTCAGTTCTTTTTACTGTCCTTTTTCATTTCCTTCATAAAGCACTTTTGCCTTGTGCTGTACTGTCATAAGGCCAATGCAGCAGTTCTCATTTTCAATCAATTTTTCTACTTTTTCAATCACAATCTAAGAGAATAATGACCATACAAAAAAAAGTAAATGGATGAATTCTACAAAATTTCAGTTAGAAAAGTAATCATCACTTACAGATGAGACTGGTCCCTTAAAGAATCCTCATGGCTGGAAGACTTTTGTCTATCATTATTCTCTCCCTCCTCCTCCTCTTTTTCTTTCTCTTCCTCCTCTTCTTCCTCCTTTGCTGGCAAAATGGAATCCCATATGCGCTGAGTCATGTGTCTTGTCTCTTCCTCATCACTTTCCTCTTCCTTTTCTCTGCCTTCGCTCGGCTGGTTTTGACGGGTAGCTTCATTAGTTCCACAGGACCCTGGAAAATTAGGTGCCATCTAGAATGCTCAACATACTACTTTTCACAAACTGGAAACTGAACCTCAATTTACTTCTTATATGTATATACATATATAAATACATATATA